CGCCACTGCTTGTTATTTTCATTATTTACAACAGCAATGATTTCCCTTTCCAAGATGTTCATTTCCTTATTCAGCATGTCGGTGAAATTTGATACAAATTGGTGAAACAGCTTTTCAGATTGTGGACGAGGCTGGGCGTACGTGCGTTCCGAGAAGAGCCCATTTGTGTGCGGCACGTGTACATAGTACATGTACATGTACATGTACGTCACGTCAGAACGTAGAACCCTGCAAATACATGCAAAAAACACATGGGAACCAACGAGCTACAATCGTAACGGTGGCTTAGCATGCTTAGCTAGCTAAACAGTGAATGCTAACTCGACGAATAGCTGTAAGTTAGGCCTTTATACGTGTACGGTGTAGTAGGATTTTTCAATAGACTGTATAGCAGGAATTTTTAGACTGATGCCACTTTTAAAGATACACTGTCTGTACAATACAATCATTGGTGGTACGATCAGCCTGGTTTTTTTTGTTTTGTTGGGTTTTTTTGACACGTTTATTTAATGTTGCTCATACCATGGTTACAGAGTAGAAGACGAATTAAGTTTTACAGTAGTTTGCCTTAGAAATGTTTTTGGCAATGATATACACACGGACATAACAGATAAACACTGACAGGCAGGAGATAATATAATGCATCAAAATCCAAATTCTAGTCGGTACAGGTGATGTATCCAGAAAGAATTCGATTTTTGAACTTTAGAGAAAATGTTAATAAAGTGGGCGCTGCTTTTAATTATAGTTTTATTTAGGCTATTCATGGAGGTAGGCCTCCATGGGCTATTCCAGTATTGAACACCGCATTGTGCAAGCTACATGTATTTTTGTGTAATGAAGTTCTGTTGGTACATGTATATCAACATATAATTTCTTTTGAGAGGTACAATGTACTTCTGGTATGATATGACTGACATGACTATGTGAACATTTGAGGTAAATTTAAAGTATGATTTAAAATACAGTGGCAGCTCATCATTCATACAGCATGTGTCTTCCTCCACGTTATGCGCTTACCCCCGGCCTGCACCCTGGGTCCATCCCTGGGTACACGTAGGGACTGCGGCGGATGACGGACCCACAGTTCTCTGGGGGTAGGGAGAGATCACTGTAGGATAGATACATGTTTGTCATGTGGTATACCATGTATACTGGTTGCATAATCTGATGTTCTGCCTTAAAACGTAACACTGGTTTTACATAAGCCTTGTCATGCTTTTAGCAAATAGGCATGATAGGCTTTTCATCCCATTAATTTGAAAAACGAGATCAAAGTAGTTCCCATTCAAAAATTAAATGGAGATACCAATTTAAAAATGGGCGCAGGCTCTGAATGTTGGTATCACTGGCAATCGGGTGACAAAGCCCTAAAATGTGTCAAGCGGTGTACATGTAGATTGTCGAAGGACTGCTTCAACGAATGTCCAGTGTCTGCAAAAGCACTTCAAATTTAGAAAAGCGACGCATAACTTAAGCCTCGCCGACTGCTAGTGTTGTGTTGCAGCTGTCGGTGTATTGATTGTACATGTGCTACTGGACCACAACCAGGTTTATTTTGGGGACTGCCACCGCAGCCCTGCAAAACTGACAGTTTCCATGCCACTGTCCTCATTCATAAACAAATAAATTATACATGTAGGTACTGTCATAGGAATTGAATCCGCTCACTGTCACAAGAAGAATCCGCAATGTGGTTATCTTTTTTTTTCTTTGAAAATTGTAGACTCGGCAGACAAGCATGCAAATGGGTTGCTGTCATTTTCTAGAAGCTTCACATGTACGTGAGTACACGTACATGTAGCCTGCGATTCAGCCCAACATTTAGGTCCGGATACTCCTATATACTGACCGTGTTATATTCTCTGTGGTGTATGAAGTCTGTTGCCACTGCATGTGAACACGAGTGCACTCTCACATACATGTACACATGTACATGTATGCCATGCAAGTTACGTTCCACTCCACTTTCAACGTCTCGTACTCCATTTCGGAATAAATCTCACAATTATTTTGACCTGCTTAGAGTAAAATTTTAGGTTAATGCATCTTAGAGATTAATGAACCGATATAATATTGTGCATTTTCTACACGTCATCAAAACTCCTCATTTTAATGCATATGGGCTGTGCAACAGTGCCAGTTTACAAGTTGGTTGTGGACAGAAATTGCCTCATATTTTTTGGGTTGATTTTCAACAGATAAATTCATTGTACACTGGTTTCTGGTTGGCCAATCTACCTCCCAAACCCTAGATGTCACAATATTTGAAGCCTTTTCAGTATCTCGTTAATCATGTTAATTGCATCGCTACATCGTAGCAGTACACACAATTGTCTACTGGACTGAGTGGGTGTCAATTTGGGGAGGACAAGCAGAGGCATAACTAGGGCTAAATGTCCGTGGAGGGCACCCGGGGTTGGGTTGCACCCATTTTTTCAAGGGGGCACCAAAAGAAAATATGCTGCAGCTGTATAGCTACAGTGTTGTAAACTCATTCATTATTCACAGGTGTAAAAATGGGAGGGGGGATGCACAGGTGTCTGCTAATCCCCTCCCCCCATCTCTGAGGACAATGGCACACATCATCGCAAGTGTCATACTGATTGCCGGCATACAAAATGGTCGGTGTACATGAACGAGTTGGTCAGTGTATGAGTTGGCCGGCGTACAAGTTATTTGGCATACGAGTTGGTCAGCGTACGAGTTCTTCGGCATACATGTACCTGTATGAGTTGGCGCGTACGAGTTGGCACGCATACATGTACAAGTTGACCAGCATTCTACCAATAATGTCAGTATACAGAATATATGTACATGTTCACAGACATCCTGTTCATGTACCCTGGTGTTGATCATGTGGTTTGATGACCTTACCAACTTTTTGGCATGATATTTATTTATGTATATATACATGTATGTTTGTGTGTGCAACATTAATACCAACGTGTACTCTATACAACCTGTTTCATTGCAGTAAAGGATTTTCCTGAGGCATTTAGTTAATAGCCGTAGCCTCTTCCCCCTTCCGCCATGAAGTACTGGAAGGAAGCTTCGACTGTTATCCTTGCTGCTAGATTCAGGCATCAAGGACCAGTCACTCACCCTGCATCATCAGCAGCCAGTAGAATGCCTGCCCAACAGCAGGACATCACTACCACTGGTTCCCTGAGTAAGTATTTTGATTACAAGGTGTTGATGCTTCAGAGAACCCACCGGAGCTCATTTTTTGCTGGTGCTCAGGTCTTCCCTGGTGGTGGCATCGATGAAGCTGATTTCTCACCCAGGTGGATGGAGCTGTTTGCTGAAGTTGGTATCCGCACGCCTCAGGACTTTGGACCAATGGCGAGCATACGGCATGACAGACCACCGATGATAGTGGAGAACAGAGATTTCCCTGTGCCCAGCGACATAGCTTTTCGGATTTGCGCTATCCGCGAGACATTTGAGGAATCAGGGATTCTGCTAGTCAAACATATGAGCCACTGCCGGGCAGCCACTGAGAGCACACCCATCTTGCAGTACCACCGCAAGTTGACAGACACCTCCGATGTAAGCGTTGAGACCCGGAAAGAATGGAGGCACCGAGTCCACCAGAATGCAGAAGATTTTTTGGAGATGTGCCGAGAAATGAAAACTCTCCCAGATATATGGTCATTAGCCGAGTGGTCCAACTGGTTGACACCGTCTGACGCAAGGAAGCGGCGCTATGATACAATGTTCTATTTGTGTTGTATGGACGCGCAACCTTCAGCTCGTCAAGATGGGAGAGAAACCATTCAATCAGAGGTACATGTACTTGTTACTGTGGATTCCTGTACATGTATGCAAACCTTGCTCAAAGCTGCATGCCCATCATTTTTCCAAGTACCATCCCCTGTGCTTACTCATACAGGCACAGCTGCCACTCAATTTGCTACAGGTATAACTCACTTGACACTTGGCATTATACTTAAGTCCAGCCCAAGTAAATTACCCACCAAGCTGGTTACATGGGAAAGTACATGTACATCTCACAGCACAATGCAAAACCACGGGCTAAGTCTAACGCTAAGGAGGAAATTTGACACCACATAATGCGTCCGAAAAGTAAGGTCGCATTCCATTCTGTTGTCTATTGTTTCAGGTCTTTGCTCCATTGACAATATGTGGGAAAACTCTGACAATAGGTAACCTAACCTCTGAAAGCTGTTTCTACCTTCTGGCATGGCCTAAGAAAGACCAAAAGTGCCTATTTAGTATTTATACATGTACCTGTGTGCCCGTTACTTTTGACAAGACTTAATTTTGCAAGTTTACTCCACTTCAACCTTGTGATTTGTCCAATTGGAAGTCAATTGCAGTACCTTGACCATGAGTAGCCAAAAGTGTTCGTATATTTCTTAATCATACCGGGGTTTACAGTATGCACGGAAAGTAATTGAACACACAAGGGGTACATGTACATCCCATGGGTTAAGGGTATATACGGTACCAGTACCTACATGTACATGGTGTACATGTATGTACATGATCGTACGTGTGTGTCAGTGCCTAATTATTACATGTAAGAAACAGAATCTCAGAATGTCAGTGCTCACAACAGTACAGGCTTTTGAGAAGGATGATGAACATGTGCACGTTTGTAAGCTTGATGCGAGCAGCGAAAAAGAAGCATTGTGTTTGCTGCCGCAAAGCATCAGAGAGGTCTTTGATTGCTAATTACTTCTTCGTTGTCTTTGCGTGCATTACAGATTGAGTTGGCCTTGATCTGTGGTGCAAAGACTGAAGAGGCCAATGATGAATTAAGATCTACTCTCATATTTGGCTTTCATAATCACGGTGTACAGTATGGCTGTGTAGGCTGCTTCACACTTCAGACAAATGTGAAAGCAAAGTGAACTTGACATCAGAAAAACAACTTTTGCTGAGTTGAACTACATGTACCTGTACTGGTACATGTATGTTCAGCTTTTGTGAATTTGCAGCTGGAATATTTAATCTGACGTCACAATTCTGAGTTCATGTTCGCTATAACTACTGTACATACCTGTGTACTGGTGCTCTTTGCATTGCCTGTCAGAGGGTAATACAATACAAGCGTGCATGTTCACAATCTTTCTAGTCTCTGTCATCTTGCTGATCTACCCTTTTATTATTTTTTCCTGTCAGCCTCTTTGATTAACCGTTTTTGTTCATCTCCAGTGGGTCGATCCAAGCCAGTCTCTTGCCCAGTTTTCGGAGGGGGAGTTCTTTCTCCCCCCTCCCCAGGTGTACGAGTTCCAGCGTCTCTGTCACTTTCCTGAACTCTCTGCGTTATTCAACTTCAGTCAGAAGAGGGCGCTGTTGGGATGCCAGCGTTATCTTCCAGTGAGGTTGAACTGTTCAGATGGTGTGCTTTCAGTATTGCCAGGTTGGTAGACGCTTGACGTACAAATGTACAGTATTCGTATCCACCCGTGAGATGCATCCTGCAGGCTATTGAAGTTTGCTCGTTGGTGTTAATAAAACTTAAATCACTCAAAATTTTATGGTTCATGTCTGTACGTACATCTACCAGAGCAACCTGATTCTTCTAACGGATGGTAGATGCATCCATACAGTGTACATGTGTGTATTTGCTTATGAGCTGAGAGTTTTGAAGCCTTCAGAGTCAGAGATTACAGACACAGTACATTCAGTCACGAAAGAACTTCTTTGTTATGTGAACATGGTTAAGTTGGACATATTCCAAACTACTGCCAATGATTTCATGTACGTGCATATGTGAGAGCTTTACATGTATGATGTATGTGTAATGCAAAACGGTTCAAACCTTCATTACCGATAACCTGGCAATAAACACTGCACAGCGCATTCTGCATTTAGACAGAATTAAGTTGAACTTCAAAGTTTACCTAATTTCAAACTGTACCTACATGTAATTCGTCCTGCCCTTCAGACAGAACTAAGTTGAACTTCAAACTGTACCTAATTTGTTCTGCCCTCCCTGTTGTGCCCTTTCTTCAGGGGATTACTTGTTTCCAGAGCAGCCGATGTTGGAAACCATAGTGGATGAGAGTGTTCCCACGCTGGAGGGCACCATTGAGGAGAACACAGACACCAGCAAGCCAATTCATCGGCAACAGTTTGCAATGGGTACAATGCCCATGTGCTCGTCACTCAGTAATTTCTCACTGCCACATGGCCACTGCACACCACTACCATACAACCAATGCGTAGATTTTCACAACCCAAATGCCAAATTATAACTGCAATAAACATTCTTTTGCCGAGGACTTTTTCATTTGTAAATGTACACCTTTTCACATGAATATTTAGATATACGTGTAAGATATAAGGAATGACATTAACTGATACATAATAATCTTTGTGATTGTTTTATGTACTGCCAATACATCTGTATGTGGTTAAAATGGGTGTTGATTTCACAAATGAAAAATACATGCACAGGTGCGTACATGTACTCAGTACATGTATCAGATCTGAATGCTGTTAAGGAAAGCTACATGTACATTACACCCACATGCACAGCCGACACAAGAATAGTCTACATTCATGTACATGTACTTGTGTGTCTCTGCTATCTAAAGTCTTTTAGATAAGATTTGAAGCTTAGCACGGTGGAGAATAGACTATGGAGAGGGCTTGTGGTTACACCATGTGTGGATCTGTTTTAGAAGAGGTGTGGGTCTGATACATGTAAGAAACAGTGAGTGTGTACTCAGCGTTTTGACCAGTGGTCCAAAGGAGAGTAAAGTCTCTTATTTGATAATGAAATTCATTGACGGAAGTCCTGATGTGCAAGTCATACATTTAGGTTTGAAACTTGAAAAGTTGCACTCCTGGATTCTTCTTAGCACTACATCTTCATGTGTGAGCGTGCATACATGTATCTGTCCACAGGTCGGACAGCCTCTGATTTCTAGAAACTAGATGTTGAATTCCTTGTGCAACTCAGGATAATCTGGTACTTTCAAGCTTGTCGGAAGCCAGCGAAATTGTACATGCATTTTGAAACCTGCATGTACATGCATGCTGAGGCATTTGGGAAGAAGGGTTTAGACTTGCAATTCTTCCCACCTTTGAGAAAGTTTTTAGGCATAACATGGCTTGGGGTGCGTGTGATTGCAGGACTGTTCATTGTCTTCCGGGTATGTTTCATTGATAAATCGTCAGCAAATTACATTGTGTTTATAGCTACAAATCACATTCTGTGTTTTGGTCGTATTGTAATGCTTATTATCAAAATAATTTCAAAAAAGGATCAACATTCAAATTTTTATGCGTGCTTTTTTGTTTATGTCAGTAGTGAGTTTTAATTAGTTGATCTCTTGTTTCTCTGCACTAAAGTTGCTGTTTTGATTACATGTATATGCCAAAATTATTTCTAAAAATTCAACAAATGGAAACTCAGTTGAACTTGCAAACTGCTTATCATGATAAGAGTCACCTGAAATATAATATTCAATAGACTTTATACAGAATGGATGTATCGATTATCTTGCCATGTGGAATCTTATTCAAGGCAAAGAAATCCCAACATGGAGATAACGGTACCCAGTTGACTAATAAAAGTCTAAGCAGTGTCATTACGACTGTGGGTGTGTGCCACTGATGTTGAGGCTATGCAAAACACTATACATATATAGAGAGTAGTAAACCTGTGCTTTATCAGATAAACATGCAGATGTATTAGGCATGAGTCACAGGCAAGATTATATTTTCTTCTCATGAATGTGGAATTTGCAACAGTATGGACAGCACTGTCTCTCTTTATGGACATTTTTAGGAGGTACATGGGTACTTCATGCTCGTGTTTCCACAATACATACCTTTGTAACAATGTACATACACCTGAACTTGTAATGTATGGTGGCCCAATCTGGAGAGAATTCTGCACTAAAATCTTTGCTGATCAAAAAACTTGGAAACGTCACCCTGGTAACTCATATCGGAGTGCACAACAGGATGCAGAAATACAAATGTACTTCACACCACAGCGTTATTTCGAAAGGTTTTTAAATTTTGCAGATATGTCAAGAGTGGTGTTTGTAACTATGGTTCTCCATGGGTTCCAGAATTACTATGACCATATACATGTACACAACACTATGAGAATAATCCTTCCATTGCGGAAGTTCAACTTGTGTGTGTCTTTGAACTACAAGTACATGGTTAAGATATTAAAAAAACCCAAAACACCAGTCCCGCAGTACGTTATGGAGGTGGTTGGAACAATGTGCTCTTAAGCATATTGACAAGTCTGTGTGACAAACTTTAAACAGTTGTGGAGATCCCCATCATGGAGCATGTGTGGACTGGTTCTGATGTACATAGTGAAATGTTTATGAAAACCTACCTGGGCACAAAAATTTAAGCAGAATTTGACTTCCAAATTGGTATTGTACAATGGCTGAAAGGGTCAAGAAACATGATGAAATACCAAGAGACAATAAAGGTTTCATTGATTTTCATTTATTCCACTTTTCAATAGTAGATAGTTCCCTTCACATCACAGCAATCTTATCCCATTGTCTTGCTGATGGATCAAGTTACACTGGTTAGTGTACACAAGTGGAGCAATGCCAAAATATTACATCACAGATTTATCTCTGGACTGCATTTCACTAAAAGTCATGTAAAAGAGGTATAACGGACTGGAAACCTATACTTGAGGCTGGTTTATAGTTGGTGATTTGGTACAACAGTCTGGAAACCTGTACTTCAGGCTGGTTTATAGTTGGCGATTTGGTACAACGGACTGGAAACCTATACTTGAGGCTGGTTTATAGTAGGTGATTTGGTACAACAGTCTGGAAACCTATACTTGAGGCTGGTTTATAGTTGGCGATTTGGTACAACAGTCTGGAAACCTATACTTGAGGCTGGTTTATAGTAGGTGATTTGGTACAACAGTCTGGAAACCTATACTTGAGGCTGGTTTACAGTAGGTGATTTGGTACAACAGTCTGGAAACCTATACTTGAGGCTGGTTTATAGTAGGTGATTTGGTACAACAGTCTGGAAACCTGTACTTGAGGCTGGTTTATAGTTGGCGATTTGGTACAATGGACTGGAAACCTGTACTTGAGGCTGGTTTATAGATGGTGAAATGTTCTGTTGATTTCAATTTCTTTTTAATGTACATTGGGCATCAAGCTCTACGTACTGTGATGTACGCAGCGGCTTAGTTGTAAGATTCCTCAATCCTACGTAAAATTTGGAAATCTTTCAATGGATTTGGAAGGATACAGGACAGTTGGAGTGGATTAAAGTTCTCAACATGATGCCTGTGGTCAGCTTTATGAACTACTTGGCGCAGGAAGGGCTGCGTCTAGAAATTATGGCTAGCGCTGGAAACAACACTTGTGCCTATGGGGGGCCACTGGCTAGCAGCTGCAGGTGTTCTCATAAACACGTGTGCTACTCCCAGCCATAGCCATTAGGCTTGGCTCAGCTGCAACAGCTTGTCAACCAAATGTCATGATTTATGTTGCTTATGATGGGCTACTAGCCAGATTTCCACCCACCACAAATATCTGCTCAGCAAAATTTTTTGCCCAGTGGCTCAATAGTTCTGCACCCTGATTCCTACCAAAGTTGAACCACACAGTGTAGTTTTCCAATAGAGCTATATATAATTGCTAGAGCGTTACCTCGCTCTGCAAAGTGAAACCTTTTGGACTCATCCATCTTGGGCACAAACCTATGGAAAAGTGAACTCAAACTCTTGTACAGCTATACTGGCAAATCTTTATCTGTATTCTGTATGAATAAAAAATGCGATATGCAAATAAACTTGATGCATTCAGCAAATGAGCATTTTGTTTTGCTTCATGTAAATAATGCAAATGCTACACAAGAGCACTGCAGATAAATTTGGCTGAGGCAGTTTCATTTGTCAAACTAATGTTGAAATGCATGGTATCTTATATGTGTGTGTGGCTTTAGAGAACATAATTCAGAATCTGTTCCATCCTATGTCATGATGTTCTACACACACGGCTTCAAAATGTCTGCCACCAAGGTGGTGTCCAATTTTTTTCATGTTTGGAGCCGGAATGACAGGTTAACGCTCCAGTAATTTAATACAGCTCTGAAAGATTCCCACTACACCATTTGACATGTGTAGAAACTCCAGACAATCACATCTGAAAAACACCAATGCTGCAATTGAAACTTGTAGTCAGAAACGCGGCATAAAGACGCTACTGCCTGAACATCTGCCCCTCAGATGGGTGATGGAAGGCTGAAATACACCAACAAGAACCATTAGGAAAACATGATGCATACATTGTACATCATGGGTGTGGTTGAAATGAGGAGTTTGACAAAACTGCCCAGGGAGCTGTGATCAAGTTGTTGGCAAGGTAGAAAACAGTACATGTTATAGCTTGCCCATATTCTGTATAAAACTACAGATCTGCATGTACATAAATGTCAGTGGATACATTTAATTTGGAAAAACCAGATGTAAGTTTTTATAAGTAACCTAATTTGCAATTCCCTTAAACAATTACATCTTTTTAAAAAAAAAATTCAGTACTTCTGCAGAGGAAAGAAAGAAATGCTAAACTGACTTGTGAACTAAACTAACTGTGAACCTTCACCAGTTGAAATCCACAACTCATGGAAACAAAATGTGGAAAATTGATAAGCAATGTACTATGTTCGCCTGTTACAATGAAACTGTCTTAAACTGTTCACAATATGGCTGGTGTGCCCTTCATATCCGGCCACTAGCCCTTGCCTTCATATCTGGCCACCAGCCCTTCTGATTTCCTCCTTCTTTGGGAATAAATCTTTGTCAACACAAACCCTTGTTTGCCACCAGATAGGGCCTCCTGCCAGCTCCATGACAGACCCATCTTTTTACTCTACACAACCCTGAAAATTGCATAAGGTTGCCTGAGCCAATTCTTAACTACATGTGCAAAGAAAGCAAGGGTGGCCTTATCAGTTTGTGACAATCCCAACGGTAAACACTGCCCCTGCCACTTACCAAATGCTGTCTTCCCAACTACCCCCAGATTAAAAAAAAATTTAACTGGGTAGGCCTACATGTATGTGAGAACAGTTGGACATGTAAGAAATGGGCATTTGTGTTTGCGTACAAAAATGAGATGGCAAATATAAAGAGATTACACTGTTATAACAGTACAAACCCCTGCTGGATTGAATAGATCAAAAACTCCTGGGCACAATCTGGTACTTTTAAACGGGTCATTCTAGTAAGATTTACAGCTTTCTGATAAAGCCCTTTACAGACGGGCCTTTTTTTGTTTAACACACAATTCTGCATTAAACTACTCCCTAAATCAAAAACTAACATGATTTTGAACAAGGAGATAAAGTCCACGATATTTCTACTGTAATTTGCCTCCTTTTAACAAAGACAGACCTGAATGCGTTTTGAATTATAATGGGTTTGAAGTTTGTATTAAAACCGTGCCAACTCATCTAAATGTTGAGTGGTATATCAGCTTGACACACTACTGTCTCACATCATGTTTGCTCACGTGAAATTTCAAACAAACAGATTACACTGTGCATGTGTGAATGGTGTGGGCCCGCTGCAGTTTATGTTCATACTGGGCCCAGTACAACATTCGAGTACGCACCAATTCTACACGCAAGACAGTATACATGAATCTACCGATATTGGAGTCGTGAGCGTAAATTCACCGGCAAAAATCACAAACATGTATTCCATCCAAGCGGTGATAAGACTAAATGTAACCTAACTGTCTCATTCTTCAGCAATATTATTTTGGATTACCTGCTTTGCACAAAATATTTCTTGGTCCCCTTAACTTCCCCCCCATGACCCAAGGACCATGTGGCCAAAAAAAGGAACAGATTTTTAATTCTATGAGGTTATGGCAATAATTTCCACTACTCTTAGGCACCACGGTTCTGCAGCGGTTTCACCTTGTAGATGCGCACCAGCCAGTGCTCCGTGGTATACGCCTCCTCTAATATATCTAACTCAAAGTCTTTGTTGCCAATCTCCGCATTGCGGACACGGTCGTAACCGGTTGGCTTGCCTGCAGTAAGAAACAAGGGGAGAGAAAACATTCATTGACATAATGTTCTGAATGTTCAGGGACTACGCAGTAAAATGGGAAGAACAAGATTAATCGAAGTATCCTTCGCAAAGTGGGTGTGGAACTTTTACCGAGGCTCTGTGGACGGCCATGGGGAGGTTCAAACGAGAACTACAGTTAGCTACAGTCAGATCGTCTGACTAACACCACCCGAACGATAGATGGTTTGAACTATTCAGTCGACCATTCAGGAGAGGCCCAGGGGTGTGGTCACAGGTTATTAATAGCTAACATCATTTATCAGTACAGAGGGTACCCTGCATATGAAAATAACTGTACAAGACTCCAATGACCATGTATGCTGCAAGAATCGAAGCCAACAGTGAAATTTTAAAAAATTGACTGACTATAGGGCCGTTCGAGTTTAACAGAATTGCGTATATGGATTGTTAAAAAGGAATTGACTTCTGGTCGAAGTGTAGTACTGTTCCTGCCTGAACTTGCTCCATGTGACTGGAAGCCTGAGTAAACAGCGCCCTCTTGCAGAGTACATGTACATGTATGAAGATAACAATAGCAAAGTTCACTCAGCCACCATTTGTCAACAACTGGTCGATTCTGCCGGGTATTCAGGTCATTTTGTGCATATGTTACCAGGGGGAAAAAAACGACAAACGGTCTACAAATGGTCGCTAATCAAACTCCACCAATGATGTCGGTTGGTACTGTATGAGTTTTTAACACACAGAAATAGTTCTTAATTTTGAACACCTAATCTAGTTGAACTCTGTTGAATACAGAGTAGAATGTGGTATGATATACAATGGATTAAGCTTCAGCAAAGGAGTGACAAGATCATGCATATTTCATGTAAACTTAATGCACTGGTCCATATTGGTCACTCCCATGTGACTACTTTCAGCCAATCAGGATGAAGAATCTGCAAGGTGCATAAACTCATGTTTGAACTGGTTTTGGAAGTTCTTACATGATCAATTATGCACAAAGAGAAACCTACCGGCAAGAAATGAGTAAAGCTGTAACTAGTCCCCCCCTCCTTAGTATCCTTGGTATTTCCTTGGAATTCAGGCAATTTCAGCTCCAAATATCTACAATAGCTTGTTTACAGTTTTAATGAGTTATATACTTCAATAATGGCAATTTATCCAGCACAAAACTTAAGTGCAAGTTGTGAGCTCTGTTAGATGCTACAAATATTGAACCCAAATGACATGAAAACCTACCAATATCACTTAAAATGTTTATAAATTAACAGATGTGTGCCGAGCAAAATGGTGACACTGGTCACACTATGAAAAGAGCACCGTCTTTGGTAGACTGTTTAAGCCCGGTCATTTGATCCCGAGGACACGGAACCAGACTATGACTAGACTGATCAGGTTAATGTTGCGAGATGAAAAATCAACCCAGGTCATTGTTGCACAATCTGTGCCCTATTGGGTTGGAGTGTTACTCGCAAGTGCAGAATTTGTAGATTGATCCAGTTGCTCCAACTGAACAAGGTAAGAGAGGGTGGCACCGTGCTACCACAAGGCCAGCCCTTAACAGGTATTTAATTAGCTGAACAATTGGTCTGAATATCAAAGTGGGACTTTATAAATCAGTCTGTTGACCTGTGATTTTGAACTCCGATGGACTTGTCACGGAACCGCCACATCACTGGTGTGGGGTTCAAATCCTTCACGGGTGCCAAGCAATGCCATAATTTCCACAGCCCACAGTAAGCCCCCTCCTTCCCAGCATCCTACCTGATTCTGTGTAGACCTTGCCAAATCGATAGTAACACATTTTGTACATGAGGCAGTTGAGCAGTACAGGCGAGCCTTCCCTATCCACGCGGAACTCCCCCTGGGGTGTGTAATAATCAGTCTCCTTGATGTGTCGGCCAGTTTCTGTGCTGCCGCCGATCCGCACCATCCACAAGAACTTGTTGATATCTGAAAAAATCCACACAATAAGGCATGAGCCACTGCAACTAAACTGCAGACACCTTGGATCAATGCAGACTGTGGTAGGAATTTATCTTGGACATGCACAGTGCTGAAGCGAATGATCAATACTCAACACTGTACAAGTTCTGTTAGACCCTGTTGGTCTTGACAGGGTACAAAATAGCTCAAACTGCAGCTATTCTGTAGTGCTTGATTCTTTTAGCTGCTAACGAAATATGGGCATGAATAGGGGTTTGGGTTGGGAAGCATTGTTTTACCCTAACCTCTACAGAATATCGACAAGAAACCCTTCTACATGCAACTACGTAAAAAAAGCTGTCAGAGTCAGAAGCCTGCTCAGTGTAAAAAAAATTACCAGGTCAGCTCTCCCCAAGGCCATAAAGTCTCAGAGTCCCAGCCTGCCAATCACAACAGGATCTAACAGCAGCACTGTTCAATGGAACAAGCTCTTCTTGTCTCAACATGGTTGCTGTATTCAGCTGTCGATGACCGCCCCTATCTGCCTTGGGCTGCAGTGCACCCTCATCGGCGTAAGAAAGACATATGGTAATAAGTTTTCCAACCAGGTTCTTGGACATGTTCGGCGTGCACGTGGAGAAAATATATTCCCATAGATATCAGATATTCTTTCTGATATCTATATCTATTCCAGACTTAATTCTGAGATTGTCTCAGAAATTCTGACAGCATTCCTCCAGACGGCCCCATCTTCAGCATCTCTTCAGTCTCCTGAAGACGGACTGAGCACGCAGTCTGAAACGTTTAGTATACTCCCGGTTCTTTTCAGAACCACACATACTCTTAGGAGAGATACATTCCTTCGCATGGTGCTACTGCAAGCCTTTCCACCTGTTGAAATTCTATCACACTAAATTTGTTGTGTGTACTCAACAAGCTATGGGTCAAAAGCTATTCAATTGAACTGCAACAAAAGCATTCTTTTGTTGTTGTTCCACATATTACTTGTGTCTGGTCTGGTGATGGTCTTAACCACTTCGTTCCTGGCCCATTTATCCATGTTGATTCTGCTGGGCTGGGTGATTTGTCATTTTTTTTTTTTTTCAAAATTCTTTAAAATTCATAACTTCATTTACTAGATGTTTAAACCCACACAAGTTACTCTCTGGTGGCTACTCTAATCTGACAGACAACATCTATTGATGCCCGAGTATTTCAGCCAGGCCTGCCGCCTTGTAAAAAGAGCCCAGATTGTGCGGTGTAGTGTAATTTTCTTTGTTCCCGAAACCGGCACAGTGCACTGCTGACGTCTTTTCAAAAGGGGTCAGATTAGCATGCAGCAGTATTGTATCGCTCATCACTGGAGCACTGGAGCACTTTTGTCCCTGGTGGTAATCCGCTTGCGTTGAATGCCACAAACAGTGGTATAATCATTCAAAACAATGACAGATTTCTTCCGCTATTGACAAATGAAAAAATGTTGGAAATTCCCAGCAGCTTGGTGTTTTGTTCCTAGTACTGTCTTTTGGTTCAAGGCCCAGCTCTTCTGTCTGGTTTCAGGCAGCCCAGCATTAGGTATAAAGAAAAAAACCTAAAACTGGGTTCCCCGGCAGCAAGTGGTTAACTACAACACTGAATTCTACTGTCCCTAAGAAATGAAAACTGAGCTGGGGAACACAGCACACCCCCACCTCAAGAGAGCATGGTGTGGAATCTTCCTCAAATACATGTTGGATAGTGGTCAGCAAGGACTTACATGTACAACTTACCATCAGAGGAGTAGCCAGTTAACCCGCCGAATATGACCAACACGTAGTTCACGTCAAGCTCCCTCATAATCTCATACGCTTTGTCCTCTGTAGATGCCATGGCCTACAAAATAACCCCATGGCAAAGTCAGAACACTTGTAGAAGTCAAACTTCCTGGCCACGAGATCAACAAGTTGGATATTTGAGCTTGGAACAATAAGGAAACTGAAAGCACAGGCAACTTTTCAGAGGCTGTATTTAATGCAGCCAGCCACTGAGGGATGGACGAGGAAGAGAAAAGAAGACCAGGGCATTGATTGTTGATCGTTGATCGTCGATTGATCAACAAGAAAATTAAAATTGAAACTGCCATTGGGGTATCTTTCTCAACTGTGAACATTTGTAGCCAAATTCAGGTTTTAAATATTTAAATGAATTTTGAAAATTGCCTTACACTAGCATATGAAGCGTTCACAAGGTTAATGATGAACAAATATTTGTGAGATTTTTGAAGGAGTAAAAAGGCTCGCCCCCTTCCGGACTTCTCGGACGTTGTGTGCCAACCAAAACAAATGCGAGATAGGCGTATTCAACTGTCAGCCACAGGTGAGTCAAGCCATACCTGGCGTTCTCACATGTAAGCTAAGCCTGTGAACGTACACAAATAGCCAGAGTGTGTTTACACACACAAAATGGTTAGGCAGACCAGGTGGGTGCAACACACGAGGCTACACAATGGGTGAGCTCGCTCTTCTTTCCTACGGAGATGCTATCTGGCATCATGGAAGGACCAACCAAAGAGCTTACGGAATGCAAAGCCAGTGTTGAATTTGAGGGATTTTTTGGACGTACTTTGAATTATTCTGGACAGAATACCCAAGCAGACCATGGCTAGATTTTACAGCTTTGCCAACAATTGCCCTCAATTGGTGCTTTCAGCGCTGACTAAGCGATTTGGCTCTAACCCTATCAGTCCAACATCGCGAAGCACTGGATTTCCCATGATGCACTAACGGCAATCATTAAACGTGCTATCTGACTGTTTTTCTCTTTCAATACTTGATGCATGGTAAACAGCTCCATGAACTTAGTGCTGCCTAGTTCCAAGACAAAACTGTGGCAGTGGAGTATCAATGTACAGCAAATAACTGAAACCATGAAATGTCGCTTACCTGTCCCACCCGGGATATATGAGTGTTATTCCACGTGTTGTTATCCACCAAGATGGTCCTGTTAGCCATGGCTGTTATCTGGTAGCCGTAATCCCACCATGACATCACTTTGGCATCCTGCAATAAATTGACATTTGCAAGAGATGAAATGTGCTCACCCTTTGTAAATTAACAGCACACTGTACTTGGCGACATCACAAATCAAAGTTTGTCTGTTTTCAGTTCAGGATGATGATTACCTCTTCGGTGTTGTGTCGCAGCCAGTAGTACGCCTCACGGAAATCGTCAAAGATGATCCTGCTGCCATCCCCAGCCCGGGCCGACAGGACAATGGAAGGGGAGGAATACGCCTCCGAAGTGACCCAGGTGCAATGGAAGGTGTAGGTGATGAGGAATATGGTTACGAGAAGCACCACGCCAGAGGCAACCTGTCATGGGACAACACGTGTTACATAGCCATACCATTAGACCACTAAAAGGTCCATTAATAATGTACATCAAAAGACATTTGGAATTGCAACAATCATTTTTGTGTATGTGCAAAATGAAAGAGGAATTTGACAGTTTAACCCGTTACCTGCGATGAATATGCGATGCTAGAGTGTACACGCGTACGTGTTTATGTACATGTAAGCACTTCCTAAGAAACTACAAAAAAACTTGTGATGGGGTTAACACATCCTTTGGAGTCAACTGGTCAAAATATTTGAACTGAGGCCTCAAACCTGGCCTGAAAAATACAGAGGACGTAACCTTAGCATTATTACGGCAACTTGAAGAAATTTGTCAGAGGGAGCAAAGTTTGCAGTGTGACTGCTGCATGCTTTTTTTGCACTTGAAGTCCATGTCTGCCAACATGCAGTAATTGGTTCTGCCTGTCAGCTGATGGTAACCTTGTCATCGTCTCTACACTGACCTCATTCTTAATCGGGTAGTTGGAGGCTTCCGCCTTCTTGGATTTCTTCTCTGGTTTGTTGATGTCCAGATTGCGGACGTAGGTAGTCAGGACGGAGGAGACGCCGATGCCTGACAAGATGCACATGACGGGGGCCAGCACCAGCATCAAACGCACCATCACACCCTGAAATGGTACCACAGAATAGGATGTGAGTGATTCCCGGCATTTCGGTGACAGGCCAGGGGTTTGTTACCCAAAGTAATGAGATGCATGGAAACTACTCGGGAAGGATAACTCATCATGAACCAACAGCTGAGGTGAATGATTCCTCCACCTTTCCTGGAGTGCACCAGTTAGCATCCACCATGACTTTCCTGGCAATGCACATACTGCATATTTTACCAAGTCATTGGTATGGAGTGTTTGAGCCACTTGTAAGACATGACGATCAATGACACAAGCTCCAAATCTTTTAACAAATGGGGCGTATAAAAATTGAGAACAAAATCTACATAAACAATACAGGCTGGTAATTTAGCTGAAGTCTTGTACTGTCATTTCAAACTCAATAAATGACCAAGATTAGCTTAAGTTTTGGCTCAAAATTAGCATCTGCTCTTTGTTTCTGAAATAATTCAAGAGAAAATGTGACACTTCTTTGCTTGATATCAGATGGCTATTCATTTATGAGAAAAAAAATTGCATACTGATAAAAATTCACTTTGAGGTGTTGTACTTAAAGAGTTCAGTTTCACAACCAAAAAAAACCAATGTTGCATGCAATGTACATTATTAAGAAATAAGTAGCCCGCCTTTTGCTGTAATAGTCACAAACAGTCACAAATTCCTTCCACTTGATTTTCCACAGTACACGCACACACAGGTCTGATTGGACTGATTTGGACTAAAAGGACTTTATCAAGAATGCATCTTTTTAATGGGCCCTTCCTCATCCCATATATGTACCAGCCACTGTTTTGTCAGTGACCTGATGGCGGTAAACATTTAAACTTAACTGACGAAGTACCAACAACTTTCCCGCTTGGTAGCACTGAAAAGATGAGCAATTCATTCCACTACAATAATTGACTGCAGGACGACTGACCTATCAATCAGGTCCAGTGAATGTGAACCTTAGGAAAGGGAGCACATTTGTGGCCCACTCTGTGAATATAAGTCCACTTTGGAGTAAAAAGTCCTTTAGAAAATTTTGCAAAGTGTAAATCAATAGGAACCCACAGCATTTTTCACCATGGAGTATCCCCTTTCATCAGGACATGCAGGCTGCCAAACGGAGTGATGCATCACAACAAAAAACTCAATATGCTCTTTCCAATACAAATGAAAACTCAAAAGTGGCTCTGGCAATTAAGACTCATTTTTCAGAGAGTGGGTCACATTTGTGCTCAAAGAAATTAGAGAATTGAGGCACATAGCTCAGTAATGGAAGGGTTCTACAACATTGCTCAGGGTTTTTACCGAGAAGTAGAGGCTGGTGATTCCATACAAGATGATGAAAATGTTGGCATCCGTCAGCTTCGTAAAGCAGTAATACATGCCCACTAAAAACAGGACAAAAATGATAATATAGTGTCTTTCAGCATGGCAGCGACACAGGCAAGACAACCAAATTCAACGTGATTCACTCTCGGCACTGTTCTTGCTGCATAAAAGATTTACTCACAGACTTTTACAAAGAGATGAATGCAGCAACAGCCACAAGATGCTTTAATTACTTTCAATCCAACATCTGAGATATTTCAAGTACGTTGGATGTGAAAAAAATATTGAAGGCCTAGAGATCAATGTGTTCTTGTTACTAGAGGGCCTGAGACAACAAAATGTAGTAATATAAACAAAAATGAACTCCCTAGATATCGTCTAATTCATGAGGGGTATGCTTGGCTACCCGTGTACGTGCAATAATGGTGCAGAAATCTTTTCTCAGTGTGCAAGAGCGGATTTCTGATCAGACACTGCAAATTCCATGCAAGTAGAAAGTGGCAACGCAACACTTGTTGCACAGTCTTGAGCTCAAGTCAAGAGCATGCTATGAATACACATCTACATGTACTTCAGACCTTGATTTAGGCATCGTACCAAATAAAGGGCCTTTGAGAGGGTTTTTTTCTCAAGAATAACTGGTACACAGCTTTCCCCATCACAAGGCACCTTCTAGACTGCACAGTACCGATGTGCCTGGATTTGTGTAAAGTGAGGTCAGCTAAATCTTGATTTGGAAGACAACGATTAACTGGATTATTTCAGGTGCTACTATTAGCTCTACAAGGACAAACCGGGGAACATGAAGACATGCATCTGCAGATCAAAGTAGAAGGAGCTCCAGGTGGTGGGCTGATGCTCTGAGACAGAGGCAATGATGGGGATGTTGTTCTTGGCATAGGAGGGGTCCAGCAGGGAGTAGAAACGACCCGTCCACGGTGAGATCTCTGTGAGGTACACGGCTCAGGAAAAGTTACATGATCGATAACGATTTTTTTTGGGTGCAAGTGTATTGTTCAGAGTTAATTTCAAACACGAAACTGTTTCCCCTTTTCGGATAGGTCCATCCCCTGTCCTTCCAAATCCTCGACATGCCTCCAAGTAAGAACTAAATGCAGATATAACGTCAATCCTACTGAATCCTTCAGTTGTTTCTTCAATGTGTTCCCTGGAGGGGTGACCCCTGCCTACAATCCTTCCAAATCCTCCGCCAAAATCGAGCCAGTCCAGTATTACAACACGCCAAGGTCATTTGAGAAGTGAACAAAGCGTGCATGCAAGACAGTGTATGGCCAGAGGGATAGGGCAGACTTGGCACAAGAGTACTGCTGTTGCCAAAATGACTTAAACGCGCTTCATTTTGGGCATGTGCTGTTGGAATACCAGATTGGCTCCTTCCTGCCATGACGTTGAGAGATGAGGAACTGTGAATGACATCATGGACCAGTGAGGATAAATGCACGTGTACTCTAGGCTTAAATTCAGGTATGGCTCAGCATAAACAACGAAATTTCCATCCCAAGACCTCGACACAATGCATCGTTTCATATCAGCCACACATTTCTGCTGCACAGCCTCAATCCTTCAAAATCCCCCAAAACCACTGGGAGGTTTTCGACGGACTGAGGATCGTAACGGGTCAAGGTATATCTGTGCCATGCCAAGACGCTCAGGATTTCACATTCACAAACAATATGCACTGCTTCTATTCAAGGATACTGCCAGTTGCCAAGAGGACAGCTCCCACTGCCCCTACAGTCACGCCCACAAGGAGTACCACACTACGGAACAAGACATCAAAGTAGTGCTGGCTGAGGCGAGAACGTACATACTCCACAAAGGTGTAGATCTGGCACAGGCCAAACACACCTAAGGCCTGACGGAGAAGATAAACAAAAAAGGAGAGAATTAGGAGTGAGTGCTAACGTTTCCCACATGTCTAGCTGCAAGCACATCATGTCACAGAAAGTACTGTTACTCTTAATGAAAGTGGTCTGTGAACACGTCTGTACAGTGTAATTGACGGCAAGTATGGGCAACCTTTGTATGGCTCTATATCTACAAAGTTGGAACTCACCTGTGCCTATCCCTGACATCAAAATCTGGAACCTGATGTACCTTGTTCACTGAGTGTAATGAGCCCCCGAGCTGGACCAAGAGAGGGTGTAATTTTCCTAGCAATGCAGGCTCCTTTGGTGGGAACTACACCTCACTGCTTCACAAACGACTATGAAATGCATGAATTGCAGTCACGTCACCAACATGACCAACAAAATGAACCCACCAACCTCGCTCGTTTCGATTGATGAAGGGGGTACTTCCGCTCAAGGCGGATAAAGTGGGGTTTTCCACGATTGTACTCAGATATGTCTCAATATATATAGGAAGTGTCCTACTTGAGTCAGCATGCACACTGTCTTTACTTGACACGTCATCGAACGGTTTCACAAATTAAATTGCTCACAGTCCATAAACACCTTTAATGACTGAGCCCTTATTTTATGCAGCATTCAGTACTGCTTGACCCTTATCAATCCTGCCTGGGCACATTCTTAGAAACCACCCTCTATTAGCACATGAAGAAATTGCGCAGTAACCGTCAGGTGTAGTAATCTGAGTTCCATTTTTGGTGGCTACTGTATGAAAGCCTCGCCAAAGTTGAGCCATGTCAAGTCTGATAGCTTGCTACTTGACGGTAGTGGGACAAATACAGATGTAGTCAGAGCCAAGCAATAAAGCCTTTTGAAAATGTACACACTCTGTATTATTACTGTTTGGAAAGAACACTCTTCGACAGTATCATTATCTCGCTAATATGATACTTGGCAACAGTGACAAGTAAGAATTCAAACTCCTCATTTTGGGGAGTCCATAGCAAGTCAGGCAGCCGCTCAAGAGGAGCTATTACAACGGCCATTTTGACGTGGAAAACAGTACCCTCTTTTTTTCTGCAAACAGCGCCCTCTTAAGCTGGGACTTTTTCTTTTTTTTTTCTTTTCATGCCGAGATCGGAATGTTCTGATTTTTGCTGTCTGAAAACTTAAAACATGCCGCTAGTTCTGACTGAATTGGACTAGTTTGGCAGGTATGATATTTGTAACTATTTTTCAACTGTCACACTTACCGCCATGTGTTCACTGGACTGGACAGGTTGGAAGCCAACAAAAGATATCTGCATGGACAGGATCGTACCCAGGCAGTAGACAGTGTTGTAGACCACATAGATCCGATGGCTGAACCGACCCGTCAACATCAAGGCCAAGACGTGCATTGGGATCAGGTTGATCAAGAACACGTAGCCTCCCCATGACGATACCTGCAATGCACAGCACACACACGTACATGTACCCTAGCGATGAGCATGCCTCAGGACACACTTTACATTGGAGTGGGAGTTGGAGTGAAACGTACATGCCCAGTTCATATGGTGGGAACTGTATTCCGCTGGTTCACAAACAACTATGAAAACACATGAGTTACTGTGGCGTTGCTACCAACAAAGTGAGCACACCCTACCAACATAGCTCTTTTCAACCGATGAGGGGGTGCTTCTGTTCAGTGCAGACAGAATCATCCCAGGAGACGCTATTACTGTGGTGGTATCACACTCAATTACAGTGGAACACGGTCCTTTGGACTTTACAAATTACCTTGTTATAATAGTTACTTTGTATTATCAGTCATAGAAGCAAAGAAAAACAAAGACTTGGTACCTAAACTATTCTTGTTATAAACGTGACTTTGCATTAACAATGCTCTTCTTATGTGTGTTTTACTGTATTTTTAAAATCAATGCCCACGTGCATTTAGGCAAGTCCAAAACCTTGCCAAAGAAAGGGGCACCTGCAGACCACCTGTAAACGAGCATGGGGCCACCGCAGCACCAGCTTCTAATTCTGATCACCCAATCGGTCTATTCGCTCCAAGCTGAACAAAAGAGGGCGTGTCTGTAAATGAAATTGACGGTCCTTTTGGTACCAACTCACCGCGCAAGTATATGCACGTTTGACGTAGAGCACGCCAGTACGCGCAACAAATTTATTCCGGAATGTTTACGGACATGCCAGGATTTGCAGCGGACAGGGCACTATATGCAAACCACTCATGTGCAAGGGCTAGCCAGAACCAATAACATCTTGAAGAATGCTTGATTAACCCAACCCACATGGCAATTTTCATATGACACATCCACAGTGCTTTTTAACAGTGTTCTAGTACGTGTACATGTAACGGTAAAGTAAATTACATCCCAAATAGAAGAGGATTCACATTCACTCGAAAACAAAATCCAAAATGCAATAAACATAGCTAATTGGAGTGATAAAAAAAAACAGTAAGAATGACATTTGATTATCCCCAAATTCAACTCTGTGAAGTAACCCAATGACATGTTAGTTATACTTATCAAATTTGGACGCCAAGCCCAATAAGAGTTGGACTACACAGTCCTGCATCCATCAAAACACTACAAATTAAACAGTGATGGATTTCGAAGGATTTGGACCGGTCAAAATTCAATACCCGTGGTAGGTGAGAAGAAAGGGTTGGGGGGGAACTCACCATGTAGAAGTAAGCCAGGGCGCATAGGGCAGCCCAGAACATGGAGCCAGTCTTGACCGATTTGATCCACAGAGTGTAGGTCAGCAGCATGCAGAAGATGGCAATACCCTCGTTGTCATAGGAACCAGCGACCGATCGAGAGATGTAGCCCGGCACAATAGAGATCATGGCAGCTGCCACCAGGCCGGCTCCAGTATCCTACAAAAAATATGACAGGAATTCCATCCATTGTAAATGAGTGACATCTGAGCCAAAATTTGAAAGAAAAACATTGTGGTCAGAATTTGAAAAAAAAAACTTTGGTCAATCGAACCCAAGCTACCAGTGCCCATGTGAATTCATGAGAATCTAGCACAACATAAATGCGCCTGCTGCCTCTGACAAAACCTGACAGAATCCTACAATAGGTCTTCTGTTCAACTGGGGGGGTTAGCAGGGGGTGGGAAGATGCTGAAATGTGACGCCAAGACAGAATGGCAGACCCCACTCATGTACATTAGCTGCTTTCACCACTTCACATTTCATGTCATGATTGATATTTCTGCAAACACTGTCTGCCCAAACAGTTGGCAATCGAACAGAACTCTAACGCAAGTAGCAACGCTCCAACACAAAATGCTTAACACCACCAAAAGCCTGCGTACTTCTCATTTGTAGAGCACAAGCAACGGGGGTACATACGTGGGCCTGACTGGATTTTTGTATCCATGGTTACCTTGAGCTGCTTGGCTAAGTGATAGGTGACCAGGGTAGTCAGTGAGGAGAAGAGAGGAGCCAAGAAGACACAAACATTCCGGACATCGATGGAGAGATGGAGGAAGTTCATGACATGGTAGATGATGGCAGAGGTTATCATCAGACCTGCTCAGGAAAAAGGACAGAGATTAAAAAAAAACAAAGGAATTATGGTCCATTATCAGGAAAGCTGATTAGGCGTTACATATTGACTATATAAAGATGAACAAAGACACAGACTCCAGCGAGATTTAAACCTGCGACCTCTGGAAAATTGTTCCGGTGCTGTACCAACTAAGCTATCCAGTCCTACATTAGTAGCTCTTCCCATTTGTCGATATTTGTGTTTAAGAGGCCCTAGTCAGGAGCCACAACACCCAAAACACGATACAGCTGGGATCACAGAGGCCAAACACACAATACAAGCAACATTTGGCAACACCGCAAACCTGGGGAAAAGGTAAACAGGGAGTTGACATTAAAGATGTCACTCATTTGACATTTTGACCAATCAAATGGAAATTGTTTGTGAAAAGAGCTTTGTTCGCTAAACTGCAACTCATTCGGCATTTTTACCAGGAACTTTATGTATTGAATCCTCTACAAGCTTCCACTGTGTAGGAATTCAATAATACATAACTTTCATATGCCACATTTAGCACAGCCTATGCTACATCTTCCCGACAATATTAAAGCTTTCTCAAAAGGTCCTACAGAATTTTGAAACATTTTGAATTTTAAAACATTCCTAATGAATTTGAATGTTCCATCATGGTACAAAAACAGACCAATTCCATCTTTGGGCACATTTTACATGACAAGCATAGAAGAGATGAGACACTTGAGTAATGAGTTAATGTTAACGCTGCATACACCCCACTTGCACATGATTTTTTCACTTTTGCTTTGATGAAAAACCTAAATAACCGAAAGTAGGATAAAGTGTCTATGGTTACTTGGCAAGATGAAGTAGGGAAAGATGACAAGGATTTTTTTTTACAGTACAATTTTTTTAAGTTTCATTTCAAAGATACCGGTATGGTTCTAACCTCTCCCTAGTAATAAAAGAAATACAGGAATTCTTGAAATTAAAGCAGAACAATTATTCACAAAAACATGCGATTCAGCTCCATAACCCAAAGCTAAATGTCAATTCACAATACCAGCGACATACCTGGGTAGATGGTCCCTCCAATGATACGGCCGAGAGGGTACCAGGCCCGGTCATCAAACCAGTTATGAAAGCGATAGAAGCCCTCCTCAGCCAAGTACCTGGTGGTCCGGTAGTTGAAGTATGGATCAAACTCGTGGATAACACTCTCAAAGCGTAACACGGAGAAGAGACGGGTCGAGAAGGCTGCAACGAAGGAACGACGGTGGTGAGTAGTGCACACAGTAATGAGTATGCAAACTACAGGAACAGCTCTAGCTGAATGGACCCATGTTGACTGCAAGCACTGACGTAACGCATGGACATATGCACGTAAGACTTAAACGAACATCTTCGCATTGTTCAGATGAAACTTATCTTCCCCTTATCTCTGCTGATGATTACGGCAAAATTCTGACTCCTTTCTTGATGCTGCACCATTAGAAGCATACACTGTGCCTTTTGTATTCCTTGGCAAAAATGAACTTGGCATCTGCTACCAGTATCCGATGATCACTAAACCTATTGTACAGGTACATACTATATCGATTCCGGTTTGAACTTGTAATGTCCAATGAATTACAGAAGCAATACACAGCAGCATGAGCTTATGCACCTACTGGTAGTCTTGATTCAGCACAAAAAAAAATTTCAGTGCTTTGTCTATACTACTGAACAGACTTGCCAAATATTCACGACATTAGAAAACTGCTGGATGAGGAGACTGACTCTGCATTGGCTACGCGCATTCTGAAAGCTCCAAAATGTTTAAGATTATAAATTTAGTACAGCTCTCGGGAAAATGTACAGCATCCACTGTCCACCTCACTCTTTCATTTTACTGTTATGAATGAAAGACAGGTGAGAAATGAGGACCTATGTGTAGTACCCCGGGACCTATACATAATTGATGAGTGCCATCATATCGAGGCACTAAAGCATAGTCTTGCTGACAAGAGGATTTGAAAAGTAATCTTCTACACACACCCCCAATCAGATCCAACAGATATTACCAACAATTGGTCATACAGTCTTTCAAACCCTTACTGGCACAACTGGCCATGACTGCTCACCAGAGAGGAAGCGTCACTGAATGGATAGCGCCATCCTCTTTACATCCGAGGACCCACTGTAAGGGTTCATTAACCCCTCCGGGAGATATTGACAGCCACGGCTTTGTGTGAGGATTAGTGCATACCACACATACAGTGTACATTCTATTCATCATGCACCTGCGGTTTCAATGTGGGCCTGCTGCAGGACAAGGCTTTGTATACTTGGCATACAGCAGCCCAGCAGTCGCGGTCAAAAGAATCCCAACGTGAAGGGGTTAAACTTACACAAGACCATGCAGAAAGTCAGGATACACAGCTTGAGTAACGTTTCCTGCTTCTCAATGGACATACGCCCCAGCCACGAGGGCACCTTGTAGGATGCAGTGGACTTCATGTTTGACTATGAGGATGCCGACACCAACCCGCTACAAACTGAAAAAATCAACACATATGTGTACAGATGAATGCCAGTTCGCGTTGGGTAAATGAACTGACGCATTGCTAAATTATTCTGACAATTGCTGCTTTAAAAAGTGCAACAACTCCTGTTTCTCACGATGAGTCATTGTGGGATACCCACATTAGGCCCAGGGCGGGTACCTGGGCACCTGCCCATCGATATCAAAACCTGGTTCCATTGTTCGGGCCAGGTACTCTTGAAAAAAATTCCATGTATAAAATGTAAGAACCACACTCCACAAAACAGATTATTCCAAGATGGTGTCCTGCCACTAGTCAGTGTAGTCAGGCAGTAGGAGGCATATCAGAACCCAGAGACTGTCCTTCAACTCAGAGAAGTCCCGTTTATTTGCATACGAAATCAATTCCCTAAAAGAGAAAATGTCTCCATATAAGGGGAGTGGGTTTTTTCAAATGGCTTGGATTAAAAATTCAAAAACCCAAATACGATAAAAAATTTTCCCATACTTTCTCTTCATATATAAGGTTATTTAGGTTGTTTTTTATGCATTTTGTATCATGTCACTCAATTCACTGTATAAAAAGAAAAGAAATTCAGAAGAATCATTTTGGTGCAGTCTGTTTTACGTCCCATTGGAGACTCCTCCTTGTAAGTCCTGGAAGTAAACAGGGACACTGTTAATGGCAGCCTGTTTTCTTCTGCTGAATTCAATTACATGTACATGTGGCATTAAAAGGACCCCTAGACCACCAGTAAGATCCCCAAGCTCACTTGAAAAAAGTCCCAGTTTTGGGAAACATTTGCTTTCAGGGGACTGATTTTAACCCTGAATAAAGGGACTTCTCTGAGTTTCTGGATAGTTGCAGAATTGTGCTGTATACCCCTACTGCAAGGTAGTCATGGCACTAGACATTGAAGCATGCTGATCAGTGATGTCATGCTTTGTGCACACATTTGAGGCGTGCAGCTCCAAACCTGAGGCTACAGTACAGGTTTAAATTTGTGGGCTGTCACAGGTTTTCGGAAGGAATACATGTAGGCCTGCCAGTAACACCATGACAACAGCAATGGACATACTGGACCATGGCCATCACAGCTCTCACAACTTGTCATGAGACAATGAATAAAGTCATGTCAAGAACCTTCTGAACATCCTCATGATTACCCCAGAAATGTGGGGTCTGACGTCCGACCGCACAGGCTGAGGAGTAGCTCATGATGATACTGTGCTAAACCTAGCCCCAGACTGGGGGCCAGTCTACTGGACTACCTCCGTATCCTTGGCCCCACAATGGTCCATCCAGAAAGTGGAGACTCTGTGAAAATGCCTTCTACACTGTATGAACCCTGTTTGTATATATGGCTCAATCAACCCATTAGATCATTGATGTATTAATATGGGCGATTTCCAGTTTGTTTTTGCCATAAAATTTTGGTTTCGATTTTGCCATTCATTTACTACAGCGATTAACTCCCGATCACTTGATTGACTGATGCTAACCACAGGATCTTTTTGGTCTGGGAATCATGCAGTGTTAAAGATGGTCATCCCAACTACTGTTTATCAGCGACTTTGTATCACTCGTACTCGTAGTTGAGCCAGGTGTATGCATGAACACCATGAGTATGAATGTGTCAAAAACAACAGCCGTCAGGTAGTTTCATGGGTGGCGCATCAACCATTTGGTTACGGCTCGTCTTCGCAAGTAGACATGTGAACTGCATGACTCTCAGGCACTGATCAGAAAATATTATTTGCACCTTGTTATGGAAAAAGGCATGGTTTTGGCCCGTTTTTTTTCTTGGTATTCGGTACAAAGATATGTACATGTAAGCTATCTTACACAGAACTCTTGGGGAAATGGAGCAGCATTTCTATGAGTACGCAACTGGAATAAAATGCCTCTTCATGTTAAACGCCATGCAGAGCCTATGGCGAAAAAGGCTCATTTTCTGAGGGTTTCGTCATGTTCGTGGGAGCGGGGCGGACGTCGGACCCTCAGTTCTGGGGATATCCTACCAAGTACCATGCCTACCGACACGCGACACCAGCTTTGGGAAAAGATTCTAGATCCAACAAACAAGACTCCAGATAATAAATAGAAAAGCATCACTCTTAGAGCCCTGTCACCGAGTGAATTACAATCCTTATGTCATTAATGGGCTAATTACACAAACAGTGGTTTAATTTTACATATTTTGACTTCACCTGTTGGATGAGATTCGACGTGTAAACGTGGACACGTCCGAAGAGAACCATCGCGGGTATCCGGCCCCAGCACCGCAGTAATAAACGCACAACTTTTTTATAATGACTACCAACGAAAAATAGTTTCTCGACAAAACAACAGAGGGCGTTGATCAGATAACACGTTCGTAGATTGGGTACTGTACAGTACACGTACCGTACTGCACATGTACTGACGTAGGGAGCGCACCACACCACGAAACACTACGTACACTGTACATGTACAGTACGTGTACTCCGTATTCCGTTCACAAGCACTCCTTCCTTGTGGTCGACGATTATGAGGGTGCCGAACAAGTCGGAGCTAGGAGACTGCAGACAATATGAACTAGTAAGCCGTAAGACGCGCGCACTAGAGGGCAAACGCTATTCAGATTTTTTTCGTTAGGTATTACTTAGTTTCGTACGTTCGACTCGAAGGCCCCAAAGGTTTTGTAGGCCGTAGGAACTGCCCGACACAGCAGCTGAAAACAGTATGCATGTAGGCCTTTATATGACATGCCTGTTAACCTATTTTTCAGTCACTGTAAGACTTCCAGTTCAGACTTGTTACAAAAACATACATTTTTGGCATGCATTCCAACACACCGATAATCAATAAAAATGAAGTTTCAACTCAATTTTTTTATATTGTCAATTGAAGTTTGAGGCCACACATTTACACGTGCCAGACAGCATGGTGGGTGCATGGAGTGTGTCGGCCGGAAAAAGATCATAGGTTTTTTAGGCTCACCCGTCTCACTAGAAAACTACAGGCTGTGTGAGAACGATTTGTCCAATTTTAACAACATGGGTGACAAAATGACAACAAAGAGTTACTCTAAACATGTTAAGGCTCAACTTGTTATAATATTGCACTGCAACACTTTCAGGAAAAATGTGTTGATGGGTGGGCTCTTTTAGGGTTAACCCCACAAAAAGCGGCCCTGATCGGAAGTGGTAAAGTTCAAATTCTGCTACTCTACTACCGTAACGGTGTTCAGCCTACACTTTGGTCTCTTGAGTAAAGGCTAACGAAGAAGCCACTTGTACTTGACAATCATCTGATATGCAAGGTGGGGCCAGTTCAGTTGCTTTTCGCAGAACCAAAGTCAATTCAGATCGAAATCATCTTCATTTTGACTGCATTTTGTCAGCACTTTCGCCCACCTTCCTATGCAAATCTGGCCTCACAACCCTTATGCAACATTACGTCAGTTAAACAAAAACGCTTAGACAGCTTTTGCCTTCTAAACAGTCGCAAGCAGACCTAAAATACTGCAGTGTGGCATGTCTTTGTAGTGAAGTCTGTTTTCATCCTTGATGCAACTTCAGGATCTATTCAAAGTCAGCAAAATCCTACATTGTTTAGTTCGTATTCCACATTGTATTGATTTTAAATGGACTGAGCCACACGCATTCCACCATATTAGCTATAAAATCATAAGGGCAGTCTGTATTATACCCCACTCCTTTGCTGTGCAGAGTTAAGAGGAAACCAGCCTTCACCACAGCCAATTTTTAAATCCAACTTGTGTCCAGAATTTGTATTTTTTAATTTGCTGCATTGACTTGTCTCCAACCTGATCGGCCAAGGCCTATGGTATGGGCCTGCTGTAGGGACAATTCGAGCTGCATCAGGTCTGCTTCAGCCACGTCCTTCTACCTTGTCTTCAGCAATGCTGTACTGAGCTCAGACTCAAAGATGAGCCACGTTGGATGGTTAAGTGGCTACTGAAAGATGTGGCCGAGTCATTGATGAGGTCTCCACTCTGCCAAGAGATGGAAATTAGACGGCTGCAGAGATTGTTGTCGAACCACTTCGTTGGGGATGTGTTGTCCCACCAGCGGATGCCTATAGAATTATATACCGTACTTTTCGGAATATACTTTGGTTCTCGGCGCAGCCATGAGCGGTGGGCATCAGAGGCAGACAGTGGCCACGTTTCGGATCCACAGAGGAGTACAGACAAGACGGAGGTGTTATCCTTCGTCTTTGTGGCAACAATGATGTTGTGGCGCCATACAAGTCGCCAGAGGCTGCCCAAGATGTCACTTGCCAAGGCATTTCTGCCGCAATCTCTGGACCAATCTCTCCCGAATGATGGATCTTTGAGCTAAGGTAGATGAAGTCCTCTACGCATTCCACGGGGTTCCCGTTTACAAGGACCAACTCGGGGCACTTGCAGTCACGGACTATCATGATCTCATGCTCTTTTTCCAGATGACAACCAACCCTGGCTTGGAGGCCTCCTCCCCATATATCTTCAGAGTTTCAGAAATGGTGGCTAGATCTGGGGGAGGAGAGTTCAACCTGTATCATCTATGTACTCCAGACCAGTCAGGTGGCATTCTTTAAGGTACACTCCAGGAATGTTGCTGGACACTTTTGAAGTCCAGTCGGTTTATCGTGATGAACAGGCCAGAGACGGCTGCGCATTCCTGACGGACTCCACTCTGAAAATGAAACCAATCACAATCTTCGCCATTAACACGCACACAGCTCACTGTCTGGTCATGAAGTAGCTGCCACAGGCGTATAATCTTATCTTATATCTTAAATTAAACATTTAAACAGCAAAATGTCTCCAGAGGACCCCGCTGGATAGTACGCAACTGCCTTACGCCCCTGTTTTAATTGCCTGATTTTCAGCAGTGAATTTAACTGATCATGATTAATTACCACTCCATGCAATCAATTACGCATCTCCACTTGACCATGGCCGGAAATATGCACCTGAGATTGTTGCAACTTCAATTGATGAGAGACTTGCTCATCATGTCCATCAACGGGTGTTTCACAATAGTGCGCTTCCAAGAGTTTGCAACACGTTATAATTAGCCAATCACAAGGCACGAAATCTGTCGACCAAATGCACGTCTGGAAAGGGTCGACAGATTTCGCACGTTGTGATTGGCCAACGCGTTGCAAACTCTTGGAGGCGCACTATTGTGAATCGCCCGTATTTGTCTGTCATTTATTTTTATTTGATGTTGGTTAAAGGAGATGAGAAACTAGACAACACACCAATTCTTAAGGGTGCACCACTAAAAATAAATTCCCATAGACAGCAGTGATAAATCCCCATACTTCACAAATATTTTAAAAATACTCACAACTCTCACAGGTGTTCAGGCTGCACAGAAAAATGATGTTCCACATGTCCTCTTTCATTTTCCTTTTAATTTTCGGGGGATTGACCAATGAATTTTTGAGAAATTTTCACCAGAAGCAAACCCCCCCTAAAATGCAGAAAATGTCCCTGTCCAGAAAAGTAGCCATTTTGAAAAACCCTCCCTCGGCAAAATGACTCAAATAGTGCCACTTTCAAACCCGATTGCATCCAAATTGCTCAGACTTGGAAGCCTTGAGTCTGGCCCAGAGGTTCAGTTTCATATTTCTTCAATTCCTCAGTTCCATGGCTCTCAGGTCCCCCTCATATAGAATATATTGAGTCTATAACTTTTATTAATGAGCTTGGCGGACATATTTCTGGCCTAAATACGAGGGTGCACCGTTAACATTCAGATGAATCCAGACATTCCGTAATCGTGTCAATGTGGAATACATGTATACGTATATGCACGTCACTGATGCATTACTCGGAAGCAGTGAGTATTTATCATTAAAGTGAAGAGTGAGAGATTGTCGCCAAACTGGTTGCCTGAGATTTGTTATTAAATGTGAAACCCACAGGAAAAGCCTGCACAGATCGGTATTCTTTTCATCAGCTTGATCAGGCAGTCCAGGTAACTGCCTTAGGCGAGGTAAGTTGGCTTGATCTACGTTTATGGCCAGTTCCCGCCATACATAGGCGTAGATCACAGGGGTGGGGTCGGGATGTATCCCCCAGTTTTTCGTGGCAGAGAAAAAAAGGCTAATTTTGAGTATGGTTTGACTTTTAAACATGCGACATTAATTTCGTACTCATATAAAAAGAGAAATGCTAAAAAGGCACAAATGCGCTATTTTGATATAAGGTTTGGGCTTTGTAAACTTGTATGCATATTACAGTATGAACCGTGAGAGCCCCCTTGTGTTTGTAGTGTAGACCCCCCGCGTTTCAAGTGTAAACCACCCCACCCCCTGCAACACTCTATCCCCCAGTCCCTGACACGGGTCTAGGTCACCCCAGCCGTTTAAATTCTTGATGGAAGTTTCAGCGATGCATCCTTTGCCCAAAAAGAATAAAATTTCATTGAATAGCTAACGCCATTCTTAAATCGTGATCTGCCGAAGAATACTGAGTTATTCTAATACTGGGTTGCTAATTTCCTAGCCCGACGGTAACTTTTCAAAGCAGACTATTAATTACAATCAATTTCTTAGCATCCTGATACTGCACAAAAATTTGTATTAAAGTGTCTTTCATCCCCACCTTTATTATTCAAAAAAGATCATTCTAACCCCGAAATACAAAATAATGTAATTTTTGACAAATTTGTTGTTTTCATATCTCAGAAGACCTGTTAATACCTCAATCGATGAACAAAGATCGATGATTATGTCATTGATGACATCCCTAATTTTTTCCTCTTGACGCCAGTAACAATTGAAGAACTTAATTACAGTAAACGAAATGGTCGTAACCTAAACTTGATTCATGTTGCTTTGAAGGCAGAAAAGCCAATGGCCACGTTTTGGTCGCTTAAGTAGAATCTGCTTTTAGAAAGAAAAAGTGGCGTTGTCGAAAGTTCGATCCACTTTACATCTCCCCAACGCAAAAAAAAATCTTGAAAATTCATAGAGCTGCTTAAGCACAAAATTTACTTATAATAAGCGGGAAAAAACTTTGCTTAATAAACAAAGGTTACCAACTTAAACTCTATTTGGTTGTCATGCTAACCAAAAAACAGCTAAATACAATCCCAAGACAATATACATCACATGGAATTTTGGCTGGTTAACTGATTTATCAAGCAAAGTTTTTTCCCGCTTAAGCAAATTTTGTGCTTAAGCAGCTCTATGAAATCGGCCCCAGGTGTTGACTTTCCTGATGTCTCACAACTGCGGCTATACAGCCTGTCACTCGTGGTCGTTTCCTGTAAACCTTTCCAGTGATTGGTCAATGTACACTGTAGAGGAA